CAGCCGGCAGCCGTTGTCACCCTCTGCCTTCATCCCGGGGGGATCAGAGGGGCTCTGCCCCATGCAAGCACATCCCCATGCCCAAGTGCACATGGATGCCTGGCTGGGTGAAGATCTCATGGACACGATCTCACCCAGGCCACCAAGGGCCAAAAAGTCCCATGATATCCTCCATGCCCAAGGACGGGCTTTGCACCCTTCGCATGGCACCGATGGGGGGTCCCGTGGTCACGCGGACGGGGTTTCCCCAAGCAAACCAATGCAAGCGCTGGTGCAAACGCAGCTGGAAAAAATAGAAAGCGGTTCCCAAGTGCGGCACACGGGGCTGGCAGAGCCGCTGGCACCTCCCCTCCGCTTGCAGGGCTGCTCCGTGAGGAGCCCTGCCAGAGCAGCAGCAGCCAAATTCCCTCCCGCCGCTGCTCCCCGGTAAACAACGGCTGCAGCCTCCCCGTGTGATGGTGATGCCAGGACTTGGGGAGCATGTGGAGCACCTCTGACACCCTCCAGCTCTGGCACCACACTCTCCCCACAGCCAGGATCTGTTGGGATGCAATGGACCACCACGGACCCACAGCCTACTGTGCCACCACCTCTCCAAGGCCAAAACCCACTGCCACCCCATCCTGCTGGCCACAAGCTGGGGAGAGACCCAGCCCTGAGTGGAACCAGGTTTTGGCACCGGGAGTCACTGAAGCGGTCACAGCTCTACCAGCCCAGGCAGGAGCATCACTAAAAGCTGCTCACCAAGGCTGGGCTGGCACCAAGCTGCCGTGCCGGCTCCGAGCCTCTGTGCCAACGCCGCCGGGAAGCAAGCAGCCAGCGGGCACATGTGCTGCTAAAGAGGAAAAGGAGCTTTCTACACCAAATGGAGCATTTTCTGCTTAATAACCCCCAATCCTAATCTGCACAAAGAAGATTGCCCCCCGCATCTCCCTGTCCTGCATCTGCCGCTTGCTGCTGCCCGCTCTTAACACCCAGGCACAGCCATGGCTGCCCCACCAGCACGTGCCCTCAGCAGAACAGGCAGGAGAAAGACTGGCCACTGGCACTTCCCAAACACTGAGCTGGGCACAGGCGTCTCCTCTGTCAGCACCGAGCCTCCATCATTTGTCATCAGTAAAAATAATATTCCTAAAAGTGTCCCCCCTGATTGCCGGGCGGCAGGCGCAGGGCTGTGGGTTTCCATGGTGATGCTGTTCCGCAGGGATGGTACAGGGGATCGGTGGGATTGGTGCTTCCTCAGTTTGGGAGATGGGACATGGCACTGACATCCGGAGCGAGGGCAGCACCAGCCCTGCTGCTGGTGGAGGGACATGAGGCTGAGCCAGATCATCCCACCTTGAGCTGGGGCAGCGTCACCCAAAACAGCAGGGAAAGACCACTGCCATCAGAGAGGACAAGGATGCTCCTGCATCCCAGTGGTGCTCCTGGGGCCATGCCCTACACGCCTGCCCGTGCCAGCACATGGACCCCCGGCTCCTCCTCGCTGACTCCCACCACATCCTGCTTGCTCCCGGCCCCACGGCTCTCGGCTGTTGCCTCCACTGTTAAATCAGACTCCAGTCTCTTTCAGTGGGTTCTAAATTAGGGCAACACCTCACTCATCCCAACCTGCTGGGAACCCAAACAACAGCCACCGTTGCTGGGGTACGGGTGCCTCTGCTGCTGCCACTCCACCAAAGCGCTTTGAAAACATAATCTGCTGTTAATAACCCGACTTTATACTGAATGTGGCTAAGCCCTGGAATTGCACTTTGCAAACAAAAGCCCAAGTTTTTGGCTGTTTGGAGGAGGCTGGAGCAGCTCCTTGGGGTGAGGATGGGGAGCAGTGTCACCCAGGGGTGTCCCAGTGTGCGGCAGAGTGGGATGGGCAGCTGAACCCAGTGATGTGGGGCTGAAGTGGCCGTGTCCCAGGTCATTCCTCTGCAAGGGGGATTTGCCTCCATGCTGCCACAGGGGCACTGCCAGGAGCGGGGGACATCCCAGTGAGAGATGGTCCTGGTCACACCTGGTCACCACCGTGTCCCTCCAGGCTCCCACACTTCCCTGCCTGGATTTTGCCTTCAAACGGGATTTTGGCTCTTGCTGTCAAAACCCATCAGTGCTCCAGCAGTTTCCAGCAGCCTAAGTCCCTGCCCGGCCCCGAGGCAACAACATCCCACTCGCGGCCTCATCCTGCAAACCACAGAGATCCACTGCCCGCGGTGCTGGCTCGTGCCGCCGGCTCCAGCACCATCAGGTGCTTCGGGGAGAGGTGGGTGTGAAATCACGCCAGAAAATGCATATTTTTACGTTTCCCCGGCAGGTTCACTGATGTTTTTAGGGCAGTGCTTCGAGGCCACCTGGAGTGTCACCCACAGCCTCCAGCACCCGGATGGCTCTGCGGGGTGCCGGGTGCAGCATTTTAGGCTAAAGGTGGGAATAACATTCAGCCAAGCGTGGCCATGGCTCTGACCCTGCCGGGCTCCATCAGTGCGGGTCACCAAGCGGCGACGGCTCCTTTGCATCCTGGCTCCGACTCCAGGTCTAAGCAGGTCTCATCTGCCAAGCCCTCCTCGTTCCCCCCCAGCACGGCCGCAGGGACAGCCTGGGCCACATCCTGACCTCCCCCCCACTACCCCCCTTAATTCACCAGGCACAGAGAGCTTGTGGCTTCCTCTCAGCTCTTTAGGAAATTAAACTTTTATAAGCAGAAAGGTTTCTGGGCTCTTGGCTCCCCAGCGCAGGAACCGCAGCCCAGCCTGTGCCTGCACCCTGCCCACTGGCTGCTCCCCTGGCAGGGAGGGATGGAGGCTGGATGCCCCATCGATGGGCTGAGTGATGGCAGGGACAGGGACGTGGCTGCCCATGACCTTGGTGTCATCCTTGACCTGGAAATCTCCTTCTCCTGCATCGCCAGTGTTGCACTCCTGCCTGCAGCCACCTCTGGCAGGGCTCTGACACCCTTGCCCAGGCTGGAGCTGCACCTCACGCTGTCACCCACTGCCACACCATCGATGACATCCCAGCGCACAAAATCCACCCTGACTCCCACCAGTGTCTCCATGGATGAAGCTCATGGGGCGCAGGAGGCCCAAAATGCCCCCAGGAATCACAGCATTCCCCCAGCCACACCGCCACCATCCTGCCACAAACGCCTTCACCCGTGTGGCACCGCGTGCGAACCTTTTCCCCCGCGAGCAGGCACAAGGAGCTGCTTCCCTCGGAGCTGTCAACCATGGCTCGGATCCTGCTGCCTCAAGCCCTGCCACGTCCTCCAGCCTCAACCCCGGTTCCCAGCAGTGGGACGTGGAAGGTGGTGGCAGTGCCACCATCAGCCTGCGCTGCCTCCCACCAGCACAGCCTGGCATTGCCACCACCCTTGACAAAACCAGCCACCCCCGAACCCCGCAAAGGGGTTTGGCCCCAGCCCAGCACCGTGGCAGCAGCTCTCCCCATCCTCCCTCACCTTACATGTGGGGTGTTCCCTCTGCATCCTACTTGGGGTGAATGCTGGGGGCCGGGACCCCCTTCCCAGGGACACCTGGCCACGGTGAGGTGGGAAGGGGAGAGCCTCTCAGCGGGATGGAGGCCTCTTCTAACTGCCTGTTGAATTATTCAGGAATGGTATTAACTTATAAATGAGTGTGTTTGACTGATTTTGTGGTTGATGTACAGATAAATTCTAATGAAAGACAGCTACAAGATTTTAAATTATTAATTAGACTGCCACTTAACAAAGCCTATTTGGCACTCTATTTCCTTGCTTAACAAGACAAAAACTTTAAGAATAGGTTTTGCTTTAGCCCACAGGCTGTTCAATTTGCATTTTGTTTTTCTAGCTCCACAAATGAAAGCTGTAGATCTTGACCTTAACAGGCTACCCCTGGTGGGATCCAACCCTGCCAGCAGCCTCTCTGCCTGCCTCCACCTCAGGCTCCCAGTCTCCCAGCCTGGATGATGCTTTTCCTCCAGCCAGCAGCACCAGGGCTGGGAATCAAGGCTGGGAACTGTGACTGCTCTGAGGGCTCGGGTTTGTTCTCAAGTCATCCAGCCTGGTTGGGTTAATACACTGAACAAAGCTGATGCAGGAGCCGGAGAAAGGAGCATCCGAGCGTGAGGCCCCACAACCACAAGGTGACATTCCTCCAGTGGGAAAAAGCATCCCTGGGGTGACAGTGGGGGATCTGCCCTGCCCGGGGGTCCACACCCCGATGTGGGGGGCTGCGGGCACAGTGTTGGCTCCTTCTCCCGCTGCCGGAGCCTCGCTGGAGAGAGGCATGTGGCAGTGATGGCAAGGGCTGGGCCTGGGGCTGTGCAGCTGCCCCCTTCCCAGGGCATGGGATGGGACTAGGGGGTCCAGTCGGGATCCCCCCGCATGGCACCGTTATCCCCAACATCTCCCAGGGACCGGCCCTGGGTGCAGCAGGGCTGGGAGTCCTGCCCTCGCCACCCCCCCTACCGCCCCGTGCCCCCCGGGAGGGCCGACTGCTCCCCTTGCCGTGATGTCACAAAGCTCCCCGATGATGTCCCAGGAGGTTGCCATGGAAATCGCGTGATGTCACAGCGGAGCGATTCTCCTCGGGGGGGCGGAACGGGACGGCTCGCCCCAACTTCCCCGCCGAACCTCTCGCGCCCCCCGGGTGAGCCCCGTTTCCCGTTCCCTCGCTCTGAGGGACGAGCATCGGCTCCGCCGCCTCCGCCGCAGCCCCGCTGCCTCCGGGACCCGTCGTACCCCGGTGCCCGCGGGACCCGCTGCGCCCCCGGTCCTGCGGGACCCGGCGCCTGCCGTGCCTCCCCCCGCTCCTCCCGATCTCCCGCCTTCCCGGCGCGCGGCGCTCCCGCCGGTGCCGCTCCCCGGGGGGTGCCTGAGCCTCGGCGGCGGCGCCGGTAAACGCGGTGGCGGCGGGGGGCGCCCGGCGGCGCGGCCCCAACTTCGGCGGGGAGAAGACAAACTTCGGGGCCGGCCCCGCTGCCCCCGGCGCCCGCGGCGCCCGGTGCCCTCCCGGTGCGGCGCTCACCTTGGCGGAGCATCTTGGAGCCGGGGCGGGCGCGGTCTCCCGGCGGCGGCGGCGGCGGCAGCGCTCAGAGCCTCGGGCGCGGCGGCGGCGAGCGGTATCGGCGGCGGCGGCTGCTGCTGTACCGGGAACGCGGAGCCGAAGCCCGGGCGAGCGGCCCCCGCGGGGGCATGGCGGGCCGAGCCGCAGCGGCACCGGGGAGCGCCGGCCCCGGAGCACCGGGGAGCGCCGGCCGCGCCTCTGCCCGCCGCGCGTCCCGCCGCCGGCTTTTAGGGGGGAGCCGCCCCCTCGGGGCTGGGGCCGCCGCCGCCCCCCACCCCCTCGGGCAGAGCCTATAAAGGGGCGCCCGGTGCCGGTGCCGGTGCCGCGCTGCCTGCAGCGGCGGGCAGGGCTGGGCAGGGCGGGGCGGGGCAGAGAAGCGACGGGGCGGGCAGGGCTGGGCCGGGCTGGGCTGGGCTGGGCTGGGCGAGCCCCCCCCGGGCCCCCCCTTCCACCGCCGCCGCCTCCTCTCCCGCCTCCCGTGGACAGTTCGTGAAAGTGCCGCTGCTCCCGTTCCCCGCGCCGCCGCCCTCCCTCCGCCCCACCGCGGTGTATGGCCCGGCGCCGCCCTCCTGGGGCTCTGCGGTCCCACCGGGGACTGGTTGTCACCCCCGCCCTATCATTGTCCCCTCTGCCGTTATCGTCGACACGGAGTCCCGCTATCGCACGGGGGCTCTGCCGCGCCGCCCCGCGCCTGCCGTGGTCACGGCTGTCCCCGCTGTCCCGTCCGCCCAGCACCCTCCCTGCCGCTCCCCGGGGACCCGCCGTCCCCTACGGCCCTTATCGTCCCCTCTGCCCCGCGTGTCCCGGTGTCCTGCCGAGGTCCCGCCGCCCGATCCGGGTCTTTGCTGTCCCCGCTGTCCCCTCCGCCCCGTCACGGTCCCTGCCGCCCCTCCGGACTCCCTGCCGCTCCCTACCATGCCCTCCGCTCCTTATCGTCCTCTCCGCCCCACCGGATCCCTGCTGTCACATGGGGGCACGGATACCCCACCGGGAGCTCTGCTGTCCCCTGCGCATCCCGGTCCCTGCTGTCCCCTTTGTCTCCCGGTTATTGCTGTCTCTGCACTCCCCGCCGCGGTCCCGACACCCCACCGGGGCCCCGCTGCCGCCGGACTGTCCCTCCTACATCTCGAGGGTTCCTCGCCCCTCCTCCCTTTGGCACCAGCAGGGGTCCCGTTATCCCACTGGGAGCGCAGCTGTCCCCACTGACCCGCCGGGATCCCCGCTTTCCTCGGGGGATCTCCTCTGCCTCCTCGGTCTTCTATCGTCCCCCGGAGGTCCCGCTACCCCGGACTATTTCTCATGAGGGCGCGGGTCCCTCTCGCCTCCTCCCTTCTGCCCCACCGAGGGTCCCGTTATCCCACCGGGAGCGCTGTTGCCCCTACTGTCCCATCGAAGGTCCCGTTATCCCACCGGGAGCACTGCTGTCCGCACTGCCCCCCCAAGGATCCCGTTATCCCACCGGAAGCGCTGCTGCCCCTACTGCCCCACCGAGGGTCCCATTATCCCTCTGGGAGCGCTGCTGTCCTTACTGCACTCCCGCGGAGGTCCCCGATACCCTCAGGTTTCTCCTACCCCACCCCTCGCAAGGACCTGGCTTCTGCCCCACGACACGGGTAGTGGGGGGACACACAGACCCGTCAGCATGACAACGTTCCCGGTGCCCTGTGTTAACGTTAGGACCGGCAGCCCCCGGGCCGTCACCACCGGGAGAGACGCGACAAAGCCGCCTCCCCGACGTGAAGTGGGGGACAACCCCGCCATCACAACCTTTGCCACACCGCACGCCCAGCGCCCCGCCGGGACCGCGCCGGGACCTTCATCCGCCACCGCCCCGGTCCCCGCCGCGCCGCCCGCCCCGTCCCGTCGGGGCCCGGCGGGTGCGCTCTCCCGCGCTCGATGTCTCGGCCGGCGGCTGCTCCGGCCTCGCGCGGGGCTCGCTTGGTGCTGCCTGGCCGCCCCCACGTGCGGCACAGCAATGGCGGCCCCCGTGAGGGCCGGGAGCGCGGCCCCGGTGCCCGCCAGAGGTGCGCTGGGACCGGGGCAACACGGGGCTCCCGGGGCCGCTACCGGGTGCTCTGTTCGTTGTCTCAACGCGGAAGGCCGGGACGGCGGCGGGGGAGGCCCGGGACGGTGGCAGA